GTTATGTATAAAATATTTATTATACCTTAACTTTTCTATTTTTGTGGGACCTCTTTTCAAGGCTTTTAGCATCATGATTCCTAAAACAGTTTGGAAATTTTATAACTAAGAATTCCAGTGCCTGAGACAAATTCAATTGGTGGATTGAGATAGAGATTTTGGGACATCCTCCCAAAATGCTGTTGGTGAGGCCAGTATAGTCTGCTATATTATTGTTGGTTCTGAACATCCCAGGGTCCTCTGGCTAGAGAGTATCAGGCGAGTAATCTACCTCAATAGGATGTAATCACACTTGTATGGTGGGATAGAACCAGTGGAGGATTAGATATGGAGGATTGGCAAAAAGGAGAAAGTGTCACTCCTGGCCCCCAAATGTTGGCATTCTGGAAGAAAACCCACCATCATCATATGTTAATTATGGATGACTCTGCTGATTTATTGCTAGATTGAACATCTGTCTGATTAAAAAAAGTTCTATAATTAAGACTGGACATTTGAGACGTTAAGTAGTAAACTGTGAGCACCAGAAAAAGAGTGGTTTCTATCCAATAAAAATCTCAATTCCTTCAAGCCTATGGAAGGCTTGGGAAGCCCATTGACACCAAAAAATATATAGGCTAGTAGTACTCTCAACATTTTGTTGTCCTGTGACATATCAAGGAACTTGCCAGAAAATACAGGAAACTCTTTCCTACAGTTTAACCATCTAAAAACTCACATCCATCTAGATATAGAGTTAGACAAGCAAATACACATATAACAGCCATGCTTCACGATGTGCCTCAGATGTCCCCTCTCTTCTCTCCAACAATGTCACCCTTCTTACTCTTAGTGAGAAATGGTCAAAAGGGGCCCCAAAGGACATATGCAGAAAAGTTGTGTGCCAGGCTTGTTTAGGAAACAGTGATCCGGAGAGGAGAAGAGGGGAAGGGGGAATCCAACCTCAGGACACCTCTGAGTCTCTGTCATGTTCGCTACCGTGACGTTTCCTGGAGCCATGTCACCCTTAGAGATGCAGGAAGCATGCAGAGCAGAATAGGACAAGTTAACCAAAGCCCCCAAATATTCGTATAGTTAGGGATAGTTATGTGAAGAGGATTAGGAATTGAAAATATTGTCTGTTTTATAAACTGTGGAATCTCAGATCCATTGGTGTAGGGAGGGATTGATTAGAAAAGTAAGAATTTAGAAGCAATGAAAATTGGTGTCATAAAAAGAATCATGCTATACTGCCAAGAACACTGAATTCAGCATCTAAAGACTTATGTTGGCAACTCCATTTTGCTACTTAATAACTTTTGTTTTCTGTAGTGCCTTTCTCCTCATTTTACAAATGAGGAAATTGAGGCCCAATGGGAGGTTAATAATTTGCCCGAGATCACACAGTTAGTAATTATCCAAAATGTGATTTGAACCTCGGTCTTCTAATTACAATACTCTTAAGATTTATAAAGCCCTTTTCTTATACAAACAAAAAACCTTTGAGATATCGATAGTACAAGTACTATTATTCATATTTCAAAAATGAGCAGACAAAGGCCCAGGTGAAATGAGTTGCCCATCTAAGTATGATGAGAAATTAGCCCTTCTCACATTAGTTCTTATTAAAATAAACACATAAAAGGGGGGAGGAAAGTTAATGTTGGCATAAAATGAATAATGTAATTTTTATCCAATTGCCCTGGGCCCACATAATAGCAATTTTGATTAATTCCCCCCACCTTTTATTTATCTTTTTTGTTTCTCAGTTACACATCAAGTAGAAATCAGAGCCAGAATTTGTGGTTGCTTTTTTCTGTCACCTTCCTACTTGAGCAAGTTGAATCTTTTTTCTAGGCCTCGGTTCCCTCATCTATAAAGTGAGGGGGTTGGGCCGAGGTCCCTTCCATCTCTAAATCTACGATGCCATGGGTTCAGAATCCTTTCTGGCACTGAACCTTATGATGTCAAGAGCATGTGATCATTCTATGAGAGTGCTCGATAAAGTCATCAGGATTAAGTAGATGGCAACAAAAATGTAAATCTCAAGTGACTCCTGACTTACTGATTTAATAGTGTCAGAGAATCACAGATTTTGAGCTGGAGGGGACCTCAGAGACCACCTAGACCAACCTACTCATTTTACAGAGGAAGATTTTATATTATACAAACACATACACATATAAGATGCTTATATATGAGTGTATATACGCGTATATATTTGTATATGTGTATATGTATAATATATGTGTATATATGTATGTATATATCTATAATTATGGATAATTACTAACTGTGTGATCTTGGGCAAATTATTAACCTCCCATTGGGCCTCAATTTCCTCATTTGTAAAATGAGGAGGAAGGCACTATAGAAAACAAAAGTATATATATATATATAGATATATAGATATAGATATAGATATAGATATATATACATATATATCTATATATCTATATATATATATATAGATAGATAGATATATCTATCTATATATATATCTATACAGAGAAAGAATGAAATCATTTCCCCCCATTATCAAAACAGCCAATTTTTCCCCCCTCCCCCAGACTATAATGAGGAGTTCACAATCTAGAAATGTCAGAACTCGGATGCTTTTGGACAGAAGCTGGCACTTGCAGGACATAAACATACATAACAGGGCAGAAGTGAAGAGAATGGCTTCTCTGGAGGTGCACACAGCCCCACTGTGGCCTTGCATCACCCTGAGCTTGTTATCCCAAGCAGGGATATGGTTTTGGGCAAGGCAAAGGATGAATGGTGGCCATCTGGCAAGTACACTCTACTGGTGATTTCATAGGCACTCTCTCTAATCAACAGAAGCCTATATTAAGTGCTGAAAACCTTGGTGGGGTAGGGGGGTGAGGGAAAAGAAGGAACAGAGAAATATCAGAACTAATCTGTATCCTTAAGCCTCATGCAACATAGGCAAGAAGTTACATTTTAAAAAAAGCAAACAAACAATCCTAGAGAATGATTATCAGCTAGCCTGTATTGTAAAAGCACAATGCCTAACATATGGAAAAGGCAGTCATTTATAAAGCATTTGTTGTCTATCATCTATCTATCTATCTATCTATCTATCTATCTATCTATCTATCTATCTATCTATCAATCTATCTATCTGTTTGTCTGTCTTTCTATCCATCTATCCATGGATACATCCATCTACCCATTTATCTTTCACTCTCTCTCTCCCCTCCTTCCTCTCTCCCTCTCCGGCAGTGCAGTGGGTAATAGAGTGCTAAGCTTTGGCGTCAGGAAACATGGGCTTGAATCCAGGCTCTGACATTTATTAGCTATGGGAATAAATCATGTAACCCCAAATGGTCTGTTTCCTCACCTTTAAAAAGGGGATAATAATACTCTCAGTACTTGCCTTATAGAGTTATTCTAAAGAAAAGGCATTGCAAACTCTAAAGAGCTACCTAAATGTAAAGAATAGTAATCATTATGAATAAAATATACATTCAAGGGAGGGAGAAATTATTGTGGAGTCTGGAGTAGTTAGAAAATGGCTTCATACTGGAGCTGGGTCTTGAAGGATGATCAGGACTTACATAAGGAAGGAGAGGAGGAACAAGGGAAACAGTTAAACATGAGAAATCAACAAGTGGGGGTGGGAGAAAGCAGGTTAGTAGTAGGTTTAGCAAAGGCATTGAGGTGGGAATGACCAGGATACGTTAATAAGACTATGAAAAGCCTCCCATTATCAGAGAAAAACACTTACAGTATTGGAGTAGATGGGAATTATGGAAGATGAGTGCCTCTAGAAGTGGTACTGTGCCTTGACATCTCTACTTCTCTTAGAGACTAGGGGCCTACCCTATAACTCCACGCACTCCTCCCTAGCAGGTGCTTGCCATAAGTATAGATTTCTTTGATAATCACCAACTGCTTCCTGCTAGCTTTTGACAACTCCCTCTCTCCCCTGTTACTTCACGTACCTGTCTGCACTTCTACCTATCACATTATGGGACCTTCCCCAGTTCTGTGGCCCACCCTGAGAAGTCTGTTTAATCCTTGATCTGGGCCTTCCCCTATTGTCTGGCCTGTCCTGATACCACCAAGTCCTATGACAGACACAAGTATTTACACACCAGGTCACACAATTTTGGTTTACTCATTGCTTTAAAATAAACAACTGCAAAGTCAAGCAACAAATGACTCAGATGTTAATTTTTCACATTCAAATATGTTTTCCTATTCTTCTCAATGGGTCAATGGCATAGAAAAGTGAAGATGCCTGTTTTACACTGTTATTACCATAAATGACCACGGGCAAGTTCAAATTTAAATTTGAAATTTGAATCTCTGGAATGGAACAAATAGCCAGTTATCTACAAGAATAACAAAACATGAACTATAGTAATTTTCCAAAAGGGACATTTGAGGGATAGGAATCTTCTTAGGAGTTCAAAGATGAAGTTTCTTCTATCAGTGACATTGGTCACCTGGTTTCCTAAGAGAGATGCCTCGCACACTCAGAGATTTAAGTGATGTGCTCAGGTCAGAGAGCCAATGTATGTCAAAACTGTGACTGGAATGCAGGTCTTCCTGGTACTAAGGCCAGTTCTCTATCCACTATGCCTTGTTGTCTCTCTGATGTTGGAAGAATTTTTAAGAACAATCTTTTGGCCAGAAACTGCCTTGATGGAGTGTCAAATTCCTTTGGCATAAAAAAGAGAGAAAGAATAAGCCAGAGTAAAGAGGAAATAGTCTCTTTGCTGGCTATGTCCCCTGAGGTTTCATTTTAGGCTTTAAAGATGGATGTATACCTTTTACATTTGAAATCTTATCTTCAAACAAACCTTTGTTGTTGAGTATTTAAATCTGAATTTCCTTTTCCATTTTGGCTTTTGCTAATGACCTAGTGAAGTGAAATGAATGCTCCCCAGTCCTTGAAAGCCGAAATGACTTCAAAGCTGATCTCAGAGCACAAGTTCCATGGCCTAAAGAGGCACCTTCCTAACTGAACCTCTGTCTATCTTTCCTGGCAGATGACATTTGATCCAGAAATCTTCTTCAATGTTTTATTGCCCCCGATTATCTTTCATGCTGGATATAGTTTAAAGAAGGTAAGTTTGGGTGATATCTCTCCTCCTATCTCCTTCCCCAGTTTAGAAAAATCTAATGACATTAGCTGGCCAGACAATTCTATTCTAAGTAAGAGGAAATACAAAACCCTTTCCCCTCTTAAATGTATTTGTCTCATTCATTTATGCAGAGGTTAGCCTGAACATTAAAAACTTTTTTTGATAATGATATTTCAGTACATTTAGTTCCCTTTATAACCCTATGGATTTTATTTTATGCATTTAAAAACATCATTCTGAGAAGGGGTTCATAGGCTTTTCCCTACTTTCCAATGGGTCCATGGCATGGAAAGGTAAAGATGCCCCTGTATTAGACTGTCATTATCATAAATGATTATGGGCAAGTTGAAATTTAAAATGTTGATGATTCCTTTGGATGTCTGCAACTGAAAAGTTTGCATGAAAACATATTAATCACATTTATTAAGTACCTACTATGTGCCAGGCATTTTAGTAGGAACTGAGGATTCAGAGACTAAAACAAAAGTCAATTAGTCAAGAAGCCTTTATTAAGCTCCTGCTGGTGCCAGGCACTGTGCTAAGGGCTATACTTGCCCTTGAGGAACTTAAATCTAGTTAGAGGAGGCAATGTGTGTTACGTAAATACAAATAGACAGACAGATAGAGAGAGAGAGAGAGAGAGAGAGAGAGAGAGAGAGAGAGAGAGAGAGAGAGAGAGAGAGAGAGAGAGATGACTAGGTAGTAATTTTGATAGAAAGACATTAATAGATGGGGGAATCAAGGCAGACTACATGTAAAAGGTTATATTAGGGAAGGATTCTGTGAATCAGAGGTGAGGAGGGATGGCATTTGAGGCCTAGGGGACAATGAACAAAGGCACAGATGGAGATGGGGTACAGTATATTATGAACAGTAAGAAGGACCATTTGGCCACATCTGGGAACAAGTTGAAAAATCTAACTAATTACCTGGATATTTCCACATATTCAGATGTGGGTATACATTATCTCCCCAACCAATTACTGTCCTACTATGATACCTCATTGTGGTGTGGAGGTGAAGCTGACTTCTAAAAGGTTATGTCCAATGAGCGCAGACTCTGGCAAATTCCATGCTGGAAAGATATTGCATATGGGCCCAACTTCTATATTTCTTCTTCAACCACCAGCCTGGCTAAGTCATCAGGTTGGCTCTAGGCTGATGAATGGCCATAGAAACTCTTCATGAGCATCCACTAAGCAGTGAATTTATGATCTGTATCAGAGGAGAAAGTGCCTACACTGAGGAGGTCATGGGCCCTCAAATGTTGAAGTGAGAAATATATTTGGGACTACCTCATATCCCAGTTTTTTTACTTTTCCCTCAGGTAATAACGGCTGGCATTCATATAGTGATTTAAGGTCTACAAAATACTTTGCACATATTATGTAATTTGATCCTTACAAGACCCCACAAGATAGTTACCTTAGGTTTTATTATTTCTAAGTTATAGAAGTGAACACTGAAATTCATAGAGTTTCAATACCTTGTTCATAAGTAATCAAGCTGAGATTCAAACCCAGAGCTTTCTCTTTCCTCACTTCAAGGCCTCTATCACATCACATCACCTTATGATACACCTTGAATGCCTAATTTCAAGACTCAATAATTCTGATATGAAAGTTTTTAGTAGATCACCAATGATTTATTCATTTAAAATACTAGATAATGTCATGCAAAAATATGTTATTATATAGATACAAATCTATAGTATCCTAGGTTGACAGTTCTATATATCATGGTTTAATCATCAAGGAAAAATGTTGGTTTCCTAGAACCATTCAGTTCATTGTTGTCCAATCTTCTGTCTTCCTTTACCTTCTCATTAACTTATTCAGGAGTATGTAGTAGGAGGCAGAATGATAAAGACTGACTCTAGTCTACTGATTATGAGGCACTTGTGCTCCAATTCTTCCTTCACCAGTTACCTGTATGACCTTGGGCAGGTCATTTGATCTCCCTCAATGACAGTTTCCTAATCTGTAAACTGTGAAATCCTTTCCAGCTCTTGAGCGACACTCCTACAAGAGTAATCAGAGTACAGTGCAATGTGTCCAGGTTTAAAATTTTGAAATTGTGATCAAATTCTTATGTACTTTTTTCTCTATGAAAATTGTACTCTATTCCATGATCATTATTCACCATGTTTCTTGTGCTATTTCTTTTCCAGAGACATTTTTTCCGAAATTTGGGATCAATTTTAACATATGCTTTTTTGGGAACTGCAATTTCCTGTATTGTTATAGGGTAAGTGAAGCCCCAAGCATATAATTTTGGCTGATATTCAGTGTTCATACTTTGTTAAAGTGTATATTATTGCAATGACTGAAGGAATAGAAATCATCTACATTTATTGAAATGGTATGTCTTCAATATTCTAAACTTTGTAACTATTGACAGCAATAGACATTCAGTTACACAAACAATAATGAATCTATCAGATACCTTTGGTCTTCAGATGGAAGTATGTAACCGGCCTCTATTATTTACAAGTTTTCTTTATAAAACTTTGCATGTTAACTTTAACAAGATAGTAAAAATATTCTGTTTATTTCCATATTCTTCTCTTTTTCCTGTATATTTATTTGAATTTATTGCTATTATAATTATTTCTTTAATGATAGTTGTGTATTTTTTCTTATTTTGCTTTTTTAATTTTGTATTGTTTCATGTCTCTTTCCATTTAGGGGATATTTTTTATATTTGCCCTTTCTTATGGTACAGTAATGTTCCATCATGTTCACATGCTATAATTTGTTCAGTCATTTCATGAGAAACAGATTATTTCAATTCTTTCTTTTTCTTTCACAAATAATACTTCTATTACATTTCTATTACAAATAATGCTTCTTTATTTTTCTACAAATAGGTCTTGTTTTCCTGCCCATAACTTTCTTAGGATATTGTCTGAGTAGTGTGGTCACTAGGTCAAAACACATGAAGCTGCCTAATTCTTATTCTCAAAGCACCATATTGCTTTCTAAAAATATTGCACCAATCCATAGCTTGACCCATAATGTAACAGTGTATTTGTTTCTACACAACCCCTTCAACCTTGAATTCTACCATTTTAAAATCATCTTTGTTAGTTACTGTGTGAAAATGGCATCTTAGGATTGTTTAAACATATTTTTCTCAGATTATTGAAGTTGGAAGAGCTTTATTTTTGGAGGGTTAGCTACTGATGATTTGTGCTTCTATTTTGGATAACTACCTATTCATACAATTTAGGCACTTGTCTACTAGAAAATGGTTTTTGATCTTATGAATTCAATTCCTTATAGATTTTGTATGTTAGATTTTTAACATAAATATTTATGGCAAAACTTTATCCCTAATCTGTTTCTTTCTTTATTCTATATGCATTGATTTTGTTATGTGAAACTCTCTACATTTATATTCTCAAAACCTTCAATTCTTTTCTCCTATAATTGCTTCTATTTGTTGAACAGATAAAAATTTTCCTCCTCTTCACAATTTATGTAAATATATCATTCAACTTTTTTCTTTTTTTAATAACAAAAATATTTAAATCATTGATCTACATGGAATTTATTATAGCGTATCACACAAAATGTAGATAGATGGTCTCTAAGGTTACTTCCATCTTTAAATCTATGATCTTATGATCTAATAAGCTTTTCAGGGGTTTTCCACATTGCCATACAACAATTTGTCTAATTATTCTTGTTTTGTGTTTCACTAAGTAATCACAGTGTTTTATGATGATGGAATTTGTCCAACAATAGTGTCATAGATTTATCAAAAATTTAACAAACATTTATTAAATTCTGGGGATACAAAGAAAACCTCAAAGATGTATTTGCCCTCAAGGCATTTACATTCTAATCGAAGAGCCTAATTCCAATTTAGAGTTGGGAAAGACCTTATAACTAGTCCTACAATCTATCATATGTCTTTAGTTCTAATGATTGATTGTCTAATCCATACCATTGACTTGTTCCTGTTTAATCCAGGACCTGAATGCTTTGATAATTACCACCAATTATACCTATATCAATTGGTAAAATTTGAGGTTGATTAGCAAAAGTCTCTCTCTTTTCTTTGATAAAATCCTTTCATATTCTTGTCAACTTGATCTTCCACGTAAATTTTGCCAACCCAACCCTTGACCTTTAAGACCACTTTTATTGATGAAAAGCAGTTAAGCCAAAGCATCAGCAAAATAACTTCATCTGACAGAATGTATAGCATTTCCTCCTCCCATCTCTCTACCAAGAGGAAAGAAGTGGCTTCATTATCTACACTCCATCAACCCTTGACTTTTATTCTAGCCAGCTGTTATTTATTCTAGCCTAAGAGATGGTTATGAAGCTTCAAATTGACATTAATTTATTCATTCTCCCACTTCTTGTATAATGTGTTTAAGATGCTGTTACCTGTAGAGTTTAGGAAGCCTCATGGCTGTTTCAACAAGCAAAATGTTTTTGGCTTGAAGCAGCTGCTAAGTGTGTCTTGTTTACCAGGCAAAGCCAACCAGACCCCAAGGTGAAAATCTCTCTCACTGAATTTAAACACACCATACAACCACAGGACTTTTTGTCTCAGTGTTCCCAGTGCCTTGCATATACATGGTAGATACTTAGTAAATACTCATTTAATTGAGTTGAATTGGACATTTGAAAAAAAAATTGAGACAGGGGCTTGCCTAAGCTTAGGCCTGGAATTTTATCAGAACTTGATTCCTCATTGATGTTGATATTGATTATGACATGGAAAAGTAGATTTTGTAATTAGAAGACAAGTGGTTTCCAGAGACCTTATCCTACCTCAAGTTGGGCATTCTGCATAGCACCTCACATATTATAGGTATTCAATCTCTAGCTATAATGTTTTCATTTAAAGTCCCTCCCACTGTTGAACACTCTATGAACTATGGGCTAATAGCTTAGGCATAATTATCCATTTGACTCAAGAATAATTTATTAAGTGATTACTATAACAAGAAAAAAAAATGTGCAATGTCACCCACTGATAATGAGAAGTGAATGATAGCCATCTTGCATGTTTATCAGTATCAACACAATGTCAAGAGAATTTGAGGAAGGTCACCAACATATTGGGTAGACACTATGAACTTATAGGGAAATGTGGATAAGATTCACAAAGACAGGGGAGGCATGGAGGGATTGTGATCTACATTGTTCAGGAGAGTGCCTATATGGATGAGATCAAAGATCCATTGGAGTGTTATGAGGCACTGCTCCAGGTGCTAGGTATACATTTTTTTTTCCTTTTTAGTTACAAAAAATTAGAAGAAAACTGAATGATGCATTCATTCCACTTGTGGAAAGAAAAACAATTATTACTTATTGAATAATTAAAAGAAATTATGGCAAAAAAATGGAAGCATGTAAGGGTATAAAAATATAGATTTTTGTACAACAAAAATAAATGCATACAGAATAATAAGGAAAGAAGTGGAATGAGAATAAGACGTTGCCATCAATGTTTAAATATAAAAAATACATAAGGAATTGATACAAACATATGGAAATTATCCATTCCCTAGTAAATGAGTGTCCAAATCATCTAAGGATGTAGTTATCCAAAATTTAAATACAAGTTATCAATAACTACCTCCAAAACCCTTCAGATGCTCTAGTATTTGGAGGAACACACATTTAAACAATTCTGTAACATTACTGTACATTAGATCAGAAAAGATTGTCAAATGTTATAAAATTAAAGGGTCGCTGTCCTCAAGGAATTTGTATTCTCTTGACATAATCATTTTTACTTTAGGCATAATATCTGATTAAAATAGATATGAAGTATAGTTTAAGCATTGATTGGGACAATGTATTTTTACCACCACTTCAATTTTCCCCTTTGTGTCATTTCCATATCTTTGAAACTATACTATATGCTTTATTACTTTACAATGGAGTTTTTGCTCCAAAAAAGTTTCTATTGTAGAAACCAAATGATATTAAGATGGAACTGGAAACTTCCTTCTCATTCATCTTTTTATAAAAAATGAGTTTTCATTTATATCATTTTTTTACATCACCAAAATTTTCCGTACTATCCCCTTCTGCCTCCCTTCCAGAAATTCATTTCATATAACAAATACTATTTTAAAAATAATTAAAAGCAGAGGCAAATAAGCAAAACTTGTCAGTACATTGAAAATGTCTGAAAATATGTGAAATTTCCATGCTTATAGCCCTCCCTCATCTGCAAGGGGATAGGCTGGCAGTTTCCTGTCATACTTTTTTTTCTTTTGGAACCAGGCTTTTTCTTTATAATTTTGAAACACTCATTGTGTGTGTGTGTGTGTGTGTGTGTGTGTGTGTGTGTGTGTGAGAGAGAGAGAGAGAGAGAGAGAGAGAGAGAGAGAGTGTGTGTGTGTTCTCTCATTTACACCATTGTATTCATTGTATGGATAGTTTTATTGGTTCTGCTCACTTTATATCAGTTCATATTGATCTTTCCATGCTTCTATGTATTCATTACATTTATCACTTTTTATAGCACAATAATATTTCGTTATATTCTTGTACCACAATTTGTTTAACCATTCCCCAATTTGATAGGCATTTACTAAGAATTGGAAATTCTCAGTTCTTTGCTACCACAAAAAGTGGTGCTACAAATATTTTGGTATATATTCTTATCAGTGGCCTCCTTGGGGTATAAGTCTAATAGTGGAATCTCTGGATCAAAGAGTATGGATATTTTAGTCACTTTTTGCATAATTCCAAATTGCTTTCCAAAATGGTTGCATTGATTCACTGTTCCACCAATAATGCACTAGTGTTCATCTCTTTCCACAACCCCTCCAACAATTGATTATTCTTATCATTTGTCATCATTGCCACTGTATAGCTTCCCATTCACCTTCATGTGAAAACTTTCGCAGCAAAATGAAATAAGCAACACATTTAGTAGTGTGGAAAATCCTAGAATGGCATGTTTTTGGTTTACAGTGTACATATGTTGTGCACTGCAAATTTATGAGGTCATTTCCTGTACTGTTATCTGACTGTTGTGCAAACAAGGTAAACAGCCATATAATTCTGGTAGCAAAATTTGAAAAGGAAGAGAAAAGCAAGTAGATGCCTGCCCGATAGGTTTTGTATAGATTAGTGAGATGTTAATCATTTGTGCAGATATTCCATTAATTAGTCTTTAATCCTTTTTGTGTTACATATCTCTAACGTAAAAATTAGGAAACATCACAAAGAAGGCAGGTGGTTTGCCCATACTCATCCAGCAGAAGA